ATATATATATTAATTCCTTTCATTTTACAATAGTCAAATAAAAAAATAATCTCATTAAAACTCTTTAAGTTTTCTACTAATTTCAAAGGATTCTAAACTTGGATCATTTTTGAAAGTGATGAGGATGTATACTTTAATGAAATTTGAAATTATTTATTATGTATTTTTTAATTTAACGATCATAACTAATTAACTATATATATATATATATATATATATGTATATGCATGTGTTTTTACATGTAAATAAACGATTTAAAACTATACCTGAAAACCCATATTCTCAATCCCGCAGCAATTAACTCTTTGTATATGTGCAACACAGAAATTTCAGAATCCTTCCAATATTTTAGGAGCACATCACTGTCCAACAAACCAAAGGCATATGTTAAAACTTGTCATTTCATAGAATTTTAGAAGAACTGAATTTTGATTTTAAAGTTATAATAAAAGTTATTTTTGGCTAACAATTAATACCATAACATAGTGAAAAAGCAAACCTGCAAGCAGTCCATTTGTAAGGAATGTTGGTAACATTTGCATGCATTGCTTTCTGCACTTCTGGAAGGTTATAGTATTTCTCTGCATAATTTTCAGTACATGGATCATATCCTGAAATCATATGAAGATTCTTGAATCGTTGTATGTGCCTCACAGTATTGTTTTGTGATGTTGTGCATTTAGGGGTGTAGATGCTGTATTCATCAATATTTCCAAATTCATAGTTAACCGCATAACTATAAACATCATCACATTTTTTAGATGTTTCTTCTGCTGTGAAATTGCAGTATTTGAGGATAGATTTGTATGACTGATCAGATATAATAGAATGGCTCCACCAATATGTCACAGTTCCAATCCCATCATTGTAGCTATCAGTCACAGCATTTCCCACCTGTATATTTAGTTTTCATATGCAAGCACAAAATAAAAATTACTTACAGAAAAGTTATGTAATTCTGATCCTTATTAGGTAATAGGTAGAGTATATATATCAGAGTTAAAAGAATTGACTTACAATGAACCCTTTGAGATTAATAATTTGAGGATTCTTTTTATTATAATCATGGATTTTCTTAGCCAACTGGGGGACATAATGCCCTACAAACATAAAATAATAACAAGAAATGTTAGCTAAAATTTTACAAAATTTACTTAGAAGTTGCTAGCATTGTTGATATATATAGTGCAACTGCATGTACAAGTACCTGCATAGCTTTCCCCAGCAATGTAAAACTCCCTATATTTATATTGTGGAAACCTTGACATCCATCTAATTAGAAAAATCAGTGCATCCTGAGCTGTGTCACAAATTTGGAATTATGATTATAATTAGTTATATAGAACAAGGGTAGTTATGAAAATAGATATATGGTGACAATTCAACTAACTTAAACAATGCTTCAGATTCATATATACCTGTCCTCTTGTCCCCTGAAGTTTTGAGATCAGAGCTGGTATTTGTGTATGAGAAGCCAACACCAGCAGGCGATTCAAGAAAGAGAATATTTGCATCTGAAACATCAATTTGAAAAAAGAAAGAAAACTGAGTTTCCATAATTGTCATTCTGAAAGGTGAGTAACATGGATTTTGATTAGATAAATTTCTCTATAAACAATTTTGAAAAAATGAGAAAGAAAAGTGAAATAAATTTCTCAAAAAAAAATAAAATTAATTTATACACCAAGTAATTTGTAAAAAATTATCACATATTAGTTTGTTCAAAATACTTTTTTAGTTTATATATAAATTACTTTTAATTTATGTTTATTTTTCTTCTTTTAAAATATTTATGCAGAGAATTTATGTAAAGAATTCATATAATGATATATAAAAAGGGAGATCTCCATAAAACAATTTATAAAAATAAAGAAATTAAGATAACAATTGATTTGATGGACATTACCTCTGTTCCATGCATATTTGTTGAGATATAGAGAAGAACCAGTTTTGTTTATACGGAATGGCCCAATTTCTTCTGATGCCCCGTATGCTACCGATGAGCATCCCGGCCCTGAACCACAAAACAAAAAAGTTTTCATCTCACTGTGATTTAAGGATTTTAGGCTGAAAATTTTATCTTTAAATTACATTGGCATGCAAGTTTATCTAATGGTCTCTTTTCAAAGTAATATATGCATTTATACAGAAGCCCTTTTCATTAATATATGCATTTATACAGATGCCCTTTTCATTCTTAGATTTGAGACCTGTTGGAGTCCAAAGCGTCAACAAGTCCTACTTCATATAAAATTTGATATTTTGAGGAGTATATAAATAAGAAAATCAATCTAACACTTAAAGTTTTTGATAAAAAATATAATGTCGAATTTACTTATATAATTTATTCACTGTCCATTAAATATTGATAGAGATCTATCCGGTGTTATCATCAGAACCGATATGGATATGCACATCCAAAGTGAACACGTTACAAGCCATATCTTGATATCTTCTATTCTAAGTAACTATAGTATAACACCTACAAGGCTACAACTATCCACTAAGTCATGAAGTTTTCGGCCTTAAATTTCAAGACCGTATAATATTTTTGGTTTGTTCCAGTTCGTGGGTCTAATGCTATTTCAGATTGGTTTTGATTAAGATGTCAAACTTTTTGGTCCCCTAATTTGAACAGGACCACAGGGGCATTAATTATGCAGCATTACCTTGCCTTGACTTCCTTTTGAATTTTTATTTGATAAGGCTTACCAACACAGACTTATCTATTTAAAACTTATTAAAAACCTATAAAATCATAAATAAGACTTATTAAATAAGAAGGGAAACTCACAAAGATTTGTGATTTTACCTAATATTACAGAAAATATGCTAAAAAGTGTTAAAGCATTTCTCTATTATTGTTGTATATGTTAGACATATAATTTTTATTAGATAAATACATATATAAAAATGAAGATTCCGATCTTAACATAGTATATTTCATACCTTAAAATAGAATTGGAATCTTAGATAAGTAGATAAAGGGAGCCAATTGATTTTCACATCACCATTGATTATATATAGGTGAAGTAATAAAATCATATAAAAAACTGAAGTGTAGCGGGGAAAAGTCAAACACCCTTGCCTCGCTGGAATCTGAAAGCGTGTGATTCCAACGAGAATAAGAGAGACAAGTACGTAACACCGAAAAATGAACATCATTTTTAATGGACAAAATGAAAAGGTTAGTGAATGCGTTGCTTGGCTTTTGTTTCTGTTTGTTTCTCCCTATGCTACAAAGAGAGAACAAAAAGAAGGTGAATGGGGAGGGTTTTGTTTTTTGCTGGGGTAAAGCAAGGGAATGGGTTCTTCCAAACAGGGAATAAATGTCAGGATTAGAAGGAATAAGGCACAAAAAAGATACAGACAGAGAAAGATCACGAGGACACACATGGGTCACCCTAAATTTCTTTTTTCTTATATTATCTCCACTTACATTTTAAGTTTTAAGTTTTAACAGCTAGTTGTAAATTTTTAATCCTTCGAATAAGTGGCAATGTGGTACAATTACAATACAAGTCACCGTGTGATGGCATGAAAATGAGGTAACAGTGCACATTAAGTCAAGTTCCAGAGAGGTAGATGAGGTGCATTAATATATAGATAGGGTTGGCCATTTCAGGGAACGGTCAACATGTGCAACAGTGTAATGCAAAGGGCTTGCGTAATGCTTCAGCAAGTACAAAGTCACGGAGACACAAACCGTCAACATATTTTTTAAATATGATGCATGCTTCAACGAAATTAATTATAAAACTCAACACATCTTAATGCATATACCAAACTTCGCCTGTAAATATATGCATATAACCAAAATTTATATATTTTTCAAACATCCTTATTGGTTATGATATAATTCAATTTCAGTCAACTGTATTAACGAATTTTAGGACAAATTATCAATGGGAATATGAAATGTTCAATTAATCCTCTTGGTCTTTTCAAGATATATATACCATCTTTGTACTTCCTCAATTCTATCAAATGAGATGTTCAATACCTTTTCCCCCTTGTTTTGGTTGGAAGAACTGGCTGTACTGTACTTTATGCTCTTTTGGCAGTATTTATGATTATTAGCTATTGCATGCAATACAATTCATCCCTATTAATTAAATTCAACGCTTCTGAGGATGCAAGGAACCTTTTACTAAGTACACCGGAGAAAAAAGAATCATGAAACTTCTTAAAGTGTGAATTAGACTTAACTCAAACTTACAAATCTGAATTTTATGCAAAAGGTACGTAATTACCTCCACTTTTGTATTTTATCTAAGTATTATTTCAAGTCAAAGTGGGATTTAAATTTTTTTGAACAAAACTCAAGAGGGTAATGGAATGAAGCTAGTAATGTGAGGAGTTGAAGCTATCTCTTTCAAATCTCAATATATATGTAGATATGAAATTATAGACTAACCTCCATTGAGCCAAAGAACGAGAGGCTTATTCTTGGGTGAAGTGGGGGATTCAGTGAGCCAGTAGAAGAGTGCGCGACCATGTTGGTCATTCACAGTGACATAACCGGAGAATTGAGAGAATGCGACACGTGGCTGCCCCGGGAGCGCTGAGATTCGATCCTGTTCTTGCTCTTTTGGCACAGCTACAATGGATGAAAATGCAAAGACTAATAAGCACATGAAGAAGATATGGCCTTGGAATTCCATCATTAATTGCATTCTTGATTTCTAGCTACTAAACAACACCAAATGGCTCAAGGGCCAATAGAATATGTAGTGCTCTCCCTGATCACTCTCTCAATCTCTATGTATCAACAAATTACTAAAACTGTGTTGTTTGTACGAGATCTATAGAGAGAGATGGGAAGGATATATAGCTAATAGCTATAGCTGAAATTATTATATATATTTATATTTATATTTATATATGAACGTGGAACTGTTGAGGATATTATGCCTCAATTATAAGGTACTCGTAGGGTGGACTTGGCTATGTTATGGCATTACTACAGACAACTTGCATGCCAAGTTGGGATGGAGAGAGAGAGTGCGTGTTTTCTAGAAAGCATGACTGAAACTTTGATCAGATACCCCGTGGCTGATGAGAACAAACAATTAAAGGAAGCAAAACATCCATAATAACATGAGAAAATATTTTCAGTTAGTTTTGAAACAGCACGTAATCAATTTTTTCAGTTTGGGAGAAAACTTTAATTAATAGCAGTTAATTTTATGTTGTTAAATAAGACCACGTGGTCCCGAATTATATACTAATTCCTTCCATTCAATGCATTGATTTCTCTATCCGTCTCTCTTATCTCAAATCACTCATACCTCTCATTACAAATTAAGTTGAAATTATATATAAATGGCATAAAAAGATATAATTTCTTTTTATTGGATCAATTTTTACAAAAATAAAGTGATATTTTAAGTTGTGACTTTATTCTCAAGTCAAGAATCAAATTATTTTGATCCTTAGTTAAGAAATACAACTATTGAATCATTTATGTTAATGACTTATGTGTTTTATTTATGTAATTAAAAAAATTACTATTTATTTTTGTAATTATTTCTAAAAAGTTCATACATATATACATGAATATTTATTTATTTTTTTTGTTGGGGATATTAATTTTGGAAGCATGCATGTGCATTGTGCAATGATCTACCCAATTTAGCCGGCTCCGCCTGGCCTTGCATTTGACTAAAATATTAAAATCAACACTAAAAACTAGAGACAGCACACACTGGACGATCCTTAATATTAGCATCATTCGGTCAAACTAAAAGGTATAGTTTCTTTATTCTTATGTTTGACTTAGATACAATCAAATTAAAAACTTGGATCGGA